ACAACATTTACCGTTTATTCATTTGTGTCATTCAGACTTATTTCCGAGTCAAAACTGAACTGAAGGTCATCGGACATATGTCCGACCCAAACTCAACGTCACCGGACATTTTGTCAGACGGCCCTGGAAACGATATTTTAAGGCCTGAACACCAGACAGATTAATTAACTATGCATTGCAATGCATACAGCTAGGTGTATTTCTTATGCAACTTAACAATACTGAAAGAGATGGTGAGAGGTGTATAAGAAATTGGAAGATGTTAATGCTTTACTTCCGGGAAGGGCCTAGAGGGACGAAGTATGCATTTGAAGCCATGCGGCTGATAACAAATGTGAAAGCATTGTATACAGAGAGAATAGCTCATCGAATTATTCATGGCCAGTTCGTTAATAGTAGAGGTGGACCTGGTCATAATTGTGCAAATGATTTAAGAATGGAGACATTGGTAAAGAACTTTAAAGGCATTCTAAAGGGTTGTGTGGGAACAAAATACTTAAAGCTGTAGAACAAGGAGGTACCCAAGCTGCGTATGGCCTAAAGACCACACTAGATGCAATTGATCAGGAAACTGGTGTTCCAACAGAGTCAAGCAAACACACTCGAGCAAGTGTTCATGGAACAGTAAAAGAAATGATCCGAATTTTGCTTAAAAAAGAACCATTTAAGTACACATCAGGAAGAACTTTGGTATCATTTCCAAATGTGAAAAAAACACCGCTGGAGGCTGTTGATGTCATTGCTCTAAACAAATGGCTTACAAATCACAAGAAGAGTTTATCAAAAGACTTATTTGCTACAGTTAGCAATGATGAAAGTAATGAAGATGGTGATACTGATACTGAAACTCTGATTCCAGCCATCCTGATAGTGATGATGATGACAATATGTAAATGGTATAATTACTAAAAAATGTTCATGTAAATAGTTATAACAGAACTAGTAGTAGGATTTAAAAATTGCTACAATTGTGTTAGACAGTTTACATTCTGATAAGCCCTTGCATTATAAGGTTAAAACAACAACTATGGCAGAACTCAGATTTACTGTTAGGACTACAATGTCATACCAAAATGTTGCTTTAAAATTTTAAAATATGATATATGGTATATGCGGCGTTTAGATCACGTTCCCTCTTCGGATGATTAAAACCCAGAACGGATTCGCGTTTAATGTAATTTTTTTGGCTAGAACAAAGATTTACAAGTCTAGTCTCCGCGGGAAGCAAGGCACAATTGGTTCTCCGTGAGATGTCGGCGCTATCTCGTGTCAATTCCGTACAACTCTGTAATGACCGTAGGCTGATGACGTAGTAGAATTCTAAATATTGCCACAGCATGTTCAGTGTTGAAAATTGGAAGTTTTGTTTGTATATCCTCAATAGAGGTCAACTCGTATGCATGTTCTATAACCAACTCAATTGCTTCAATGCTAAAGCCACTTGTAAGGCTAGTACTTCCTGTGCAGCTTTTTCCATGTCCATGCAGGGATAATCTGTATGCTAGGAGTTCCTCTCTTAAATCGTTAGCCTTTTCATGACTAATAGTGGGAACACATTCTTTAGTGTCTTCAGTTGCAAATGATGTAATGGAAAGAGTTGAGGTGATACTTGATTCATGTGTACAGAACAACTGTGTGACTGACTCAAGCACACAATCTTCACATGAGCAAATTTTTTTATGATAATCACAACAAAAATGTTCTTTGTCAGTTCTAGGGGAACACTTGAAACCAAAATAAGAAAGAATGAAATCCCTTTTCCTTTTATTTGCCTCCACATATTCTCTCATGTGAGATGTCATACTTTTTCTTGATTTTGAGAGGTCATAAGAGTTGTAATAGACAGTGGCCATTGCAGGTAATCCATCCCTGCCACACCTGCCAGCCTCTTGAAAATACTCCTCTAAAGTGTATGGAACTCCAATGTGAATCACTCTTCTGATATTTGGTACATCCACGCCTATACCAAATGAAACAGTGACGAAAAGCAAACATAGTTTGGATGTACCTCCAACTAGTTCTTTTACAATTCGTTCTCTTTCATACTCTGGGTATTGAGAATGAAATGGAGTAAAGAGTCTGTTTTTACCACAAGGTGAATGACCAATTGGGTCATACTGTAACAAGCTTAGTTTGGCACTAGCATATCTATAAAAAAATTGACATAAAATAGTGTTAATTGTTTGAATATACCATCAATATTGAATAGACCAAACAAGGAACATTTAAAAAAATACAACTTACGTCCTCTGGCAGGAATCGAACAGCCACTGACTTCATAGCTCAGTGGTGAGAGCACTGCGCCGGAATCTAATTTCATCTGTGCGGTTAGTATTGTCCTTTTATGGACTAACCCAATAATGCATTAGTATAACAATGTAATATATTTACCCATTAACAGTGGCAAACACTATAGGGGGAGCAGGTGGAGAAACTGCCTCCCACTAATTTTTGAAAACATTTGAATAATAGTTGAATCAATGTGTGACAATAATTTACATTATCATGAAAGCATTGATGGGCTATAAATTGGACAAATCTACATGAAATTTAAGGCAAAAAAAGGTCAAAAGAACTGAGAGTTGCAGCAGCAACAAAAAAGTGGTGGCACCTAAATCTCCCAATGCCCATTAACTCAATGGCAACACTTTCCCTTGACAAGTAAAATTGTCTGGCATTATAAAATTGTCTGGCAGATAACAAAATATAGGGTGTGTGCAAAGTGAAAGTCCAACAAGTACCAAATGGTGTAAAAATACAAAAATTGCATTGGGGTTAACTTTTTTTTTTAAATCTAATGAACAGGAAGTAATGATAACATTTAAAAATATTAAAATAACACTCATCAGTCTCATTTGACATGTGAGATCACAAGAAGTAAGTGTTGTTTTAGGTTGCACTGCCTGACTGCTTTATATATACTATACAGCATCTAAAAAGTTAAATAATCTGTAGCTCACAGTCATAAGAATCCTGTTTACCTTTGTCATTAACATGCAAGACCTTTCCCTTGGCAATTAGTAAAATCGTATGGCATTAGACCAAGTAAAATAATATGGTAGCTAGGGCACATGGGGGCGCAATGCATGTGCATGAAATAATCAGTGAATAGGTGACAACCATTTAAAACTTTTTGCTGTACATTTATATCAAAACCAAACAATTATGAACATAACATCTTATTCAACTAAACCCATTCACAAGTTGTGTGTTTTTAATTGTGGGCTTATCTAACGTTAAGAGGGTATCATAGGCCTACTCTGGTACCTTAACTCGCCTTAACTGACTTAACTCGCCTTATCT